GTTCTTGCGATGAAGGTGCTAACACACTATCCCTAGCCAATGTGACTGGGTTATACTGTGCTATCTTTTTTCTTCTTTTTTTTTTTTTTTTTTTTTTTTTTTTTTTTTTTAACAGACTGTGCTCTTAACAAGTTGGGGAGCCACGTTAGTGCTTCTTTCCGTGAGAGGTATTTTGAAGCCTGTCCCGTCAGAAGCCAGCTAACAGGGTCTTGGTTCAGCAAACTTATGAGAGTCTGAAGCTTCAGGCTCAGGGTTATCAAACTCAGTGTAAACAGGGCCTAAAGGTTTCTCCCATTCTCTCTTATCATCTCCCCCTACCCAAAGACAAATGTTGTAAGTTTAACATTCTTTTAAATATGACAGCGAAAAATTTAAAAAAAACAACAACTATCTACCTATGCCCTACGGGTTGGACCCTTCAGGTTAGGTGTTGACACTGAACATTAGGTCTTACAGGTGATGTGCAAACCCATTAAGAGTTGTCATGCTAGAGGGTGGTGGTTGAGACACCAGTCTTTTGGCAAAGACTGCATTTCAAACAGAAATCCTACCACAACTGCCTTTTTCTGTATATTTGCAGGGGCAATGGTGGAAAGGGCCCAAAGCTGCTTGCAACTTTACATCAACACTTTCTAAGTGTATACCAGTACTTTAGGTTTCTCTCACACAAGTACCAATTTTGAACATGTAGCCTCCCACTTGGCAGTAAGAAACAAACAATCTTATAACATACTGTGCTTTGCACACAAACATTCATTGTTTTAAGAGCAGTAAAATGAAGCCAGAAGTGCTTATACCTTGTGTATACATACATATGTACATACAGAAATATCTATCTCTATATATATGTATATCCCTTGGACAAAGTTGTTTCCCAACAATGCACAGTTGCTGTGCATCTGGGCCAAGTTTAGTGTTGTACATACAAAAGAGTACAGTTATGCTTAGATGTATCTCAGATCCGAGCACGTTGGATCCAAATCTCAGAGATTTTCTGGGCTTACTTTACATGGCAATTTTCTGTTGAGGGCACTATTTGAATTTAACTGGTTAACAGAGATTCTAGCCTGAATGTAATCAATCCACTGACCCCTAATTCAAACCCTAACTTATTACAAGTGAATGGTACCAACCACAAACAGACTTTTTAGAGGCTCGCACAAATGTCTTTGGTGTATGTGTCTATTCATTTTAAGGTACAAAATAAAAATAATTATTATAATAATAAAAATAGCTATTTTGTGTGCTGTAGCAGTTCTTGTATAGCTCACAATAAGTGCAGCTCTCAACCCCTCCCACACCCAACCACCCTCCCTTGCAAATATTTGTTAAATAAGGATTAGACAGGTCAGACACCATTGTAGTGCAAATAGTAAACGATTAAAAATTTTTTTTACAAAATATAGAAATGTTTGACTCCAGTAACTGGACAAACATGTTCCTTTCAAGTATCTCTCACCAAAGAATTTTTTTTAAAACAAGTTACTTCCATTTAAAAAAAGTCTCTCTGATTTTTTTTCTTTCTCTTGCAGGTAAACAGTTTCAAACCAACTAGGTTGCATAGTTCTAACATTGTAAGCACCTTTACAGAATGTAACTTTTATTCTTTCATTCATTTTTTATTCTGTTTTTTTCTTCGTTTTTCTTTTTTCCTTTTTCCTTTTTTTTTTTTATAAATGTAGTGCAGAAGATGAAGGTGTATACACCTGCACATTGTTGTTCTTGATCAATGTTAAGTATATGTATGTGTATAGTGTCTGTATGTATAGATATGTATATAAATACATAGCCATATACATATACACACAAACACTACACACCTATTCAGTTTCTCTGTAAATGCAGGGGGAAAGCGCTAGTGACTGTATTGATCATACACATGGCTTTTCAATGACATTTTGGACTTTGTCCAAATTGATGCAAGTCAAATGAGCTGCTACCATGGCTTCAGCTGATGGGTAACTAAGGGAGGGAACAAAACTCCCCTAGTAATAACTAATGTTTAGTATACTATGTAATAAGACAAGGAGCATACTGAAAGGAAGGGGAAATCCCCAACCCATACCGCTGTTCAGATGCATCTTATTCAAGCCCGGGTTCATGAAGCTTTCTTCCTTTTTTATATCTGAAGTCTTCTCTAATCCTTCATTAGTCTTTTTTTTTTTTTTCCTTTTCTCTCTCTCTTTTCTCTCTCTCTTTTGTTTTTGCTTTTATTTCTGATGATTGTTTCATTCAAAAAAGGTTATACCATGTCTGGTCTTTCCTCTTCTTGGGCTTTTGGTACATTTTCTTCCCAATGAGAAGGGTTTTGCGCATACACGAGTCTACGAACAGCCACACTCCTCCACAATCATATTCTGTATGTCTTTCTTAATGATATTCTGGCCATCATCGTAGTAGAGCATGGACATAGGCCGCAGCTTGGTGGGCACACAACATGACTTGAGGTTGGCAAAGGGGCTATGGCCCCGCATGCGGTAATGGTTGATGACAGTGGAGTGGAAAGATAATGATGAACCAGATGTGCCTGCTATATGGCTGGGGCACTCTCCTTCGCAGTAGTTGGCATGATAACCTGTAGGAGCAATGATCCAGTCACTCCACCCTATGTCCTTGAAGCTGACAAAGAACTGCTTCTTGCAGCAGATGTTGACTTTGCCATCACACTCCAGGCCTCGTCTCCGCCGCCTGTGCTGGCGGTCCTCTGAGTGCCGAGCAAGCATCATCAGGAAGGGCCGATGCGATTGCTCTTTTTCCTCTTCTCCTGTGAATTCTCCAGGTTCCTTTTCTTTCCCTTCCCCATCATCTTCCTTTTTCTTCTTCTTGCCCAGTAACACCAGGCTGGCTCCAGTCTCTTGGCATAGGTCACAGGCAATCCGCACATCCAAAGAGTTCTTGCCTTGGTCCAGGAGTCTCTGGACACTGCTGGAGACAGGAAAGATGTGCCAAGTGCTCTTACGGGTGTCCACTGCCTTTTCCGAAATCAAAGTCTCACTCCTTTCACCTTTCAGCCTCCCATCCTCCATATCTTCTGCTCCTTCAGAGTTGCCTTTTGGTTGCCACTGCTGTTGAAAGAGGCGGATGGTGACTTTTGTCCTGCTCCGGTTGGCTTTGGAGACCTTCAGGAAGAGCCACACTTCAGCATGTTCAACCAGTGACAATTCACTGCCTTCCTTTGAAATCTCAAAGTGCAACATTTTCTTGGCTGTGCCTGATTTAGTAAATGGAAATAGACAGGAAGAACTTGTTAGTATGTCTGCTTACATTCTGTTAAAGAGACTTCTGTTAACTTTTGCTACAGGCATGAAGTTCCCTAGGTTGCTACTTTCTAAATTTTTATGGTTCAATATAGTCATTATTGTAAAGCATCTTATGACAAATAAGCATGAGTGGCTGCTAAGAGTTCATTTGCCTAATCTGTCTTTGTGATCACTGTTAACTGAAAGGCAAAAATGCTTTATGATGGCAGTCCATATATATCATACGCATAAAAATCTGCACTTAATAGCTGGTTAGGAAATGAGGTCCAGTCCTGCCAATTCTTTAGCAATATTTTGGTAATTATGTGGGGAAGAGGTTTACCCTTTCTCTGTCCATAAAAAGCCATTCTTCATATGCATCTTAAAATTAGTTTTAAGTGTCAATTGCTTCAAAAACAAACAGACACTAAAATATGAGCCTCAGCTTTAAGAGTTTTGCAGAGTTATATTGTAAAGAATTGCAGAACTGCAGCAGGCAGATTCTTCATCCCGTGAGATGTTAGCTGTAGATCCTGTTCTTAATTTAACATACTGTACTTGCAGTGATTATAGTAATGGTGAATACATTGAGAAATGAGCTAAAGAACTGTATAATTATGGGGATGGTTCTCTGGCATAATTGTATCAACTTGCTGAGATGTCATGATGATGATTGTGATGGTGAGGAGGTGTTTCT